AGACCCACAGCCACTTACGTTGGCAGAAAAAAAAATTCTTGCGGAGTCCATAAACAGACTACCGGCAGATGTGCTCAAGGAAGTAATTCAAATCATCAGACAAGCTAGCAATCTTTCGGATGACTGCGATGAAATCGACTTGGAGATTGACCAGCTGGACGCTGCAACACAACGGAAACTACTTCGCACCGTTTCAAATGTAAGTTTATAATCATGTTCAACCCCTCGCTTGTATTCTCTGCCACATTTCATTCACGCCATTTTCCCAAGATTCATCCAGCGGAAGGTGATCGGTTTGGAAACGATGGATGAATCAGTCCAGCAAAAAAGGCAGCGAACACTGCTAGCGATTAGATGATATTTCTAGCGAAACGCAGACCTGAAACTTAGCATCTACATCAATGAACAGGCCCTTTTTTGTTACTGTAGACTGTCGATAAATTCCATTCGTCTACCACAAATATCGAACTAGACGCCGACTTTCAATAGAGCCACATCATCGGTGACTGGAACCCACCTGTTGCCATCTTGACTTAGAAATAGACCTTCATTGCTCCTATCGACATCAATGACCTCATGAGCAATCGTCTCCTTTTCCCCTTTTTGCGCCCTTTCGCGTACTTCTTGAATCGACCGGTTACAAGCTGTTGCAGTTTTTTGTTCCCAGAGTGGATCCGACAAGAAATCCTCACAAAATGGAACAGCAATCGTGCTATGGCCTTCGTCGCCTTTACAATAGCTACAGCATGTAATGGCAGCCCAGTTTATTGCGACTGATCGAATTGATACGTCTATTGACAGATCGGTTCATTTTTTTTCCATCACCTAACCTGTTGGGCACCATCGCTTTCTTCTACTTGGCGATGGGGCCAGTACTGTAGGCAAGCAGGTCTCAGGAATCCCGTTTGCGCGAGATAAGCGCCAGGACAAGAATATATCTTGGAACTGAAACTTTGCTCTATGATGTGAAATTAGCCATCCAAGCATCACTCAAAGTCTACCAGCAATCTGGCTCGGCTTCCTGTCGTGCTAGTGTTGCTAACTTTCATTCGTTCACGTTCAATGATGCCATTAGCACGCAAATCTTTTTCTTCGAGTTCGTTTCGCTGTTCCAACGGCAGTATGCAGCGGTGGATGAAGAGTTATCGACCTCCGGTGTTGGTAGTGTATTGAATTCGGTGTCATAGCCCATAGTCACTACTTTGTTCCATTCTTCAACCGCAAATATCGAAATAGAGCGCCGACTTTCATTAGAGCCACATCATCGGTGACTGGGGCCCACTTGTTGCCATCTTGCTTTAGAAATAGGCCCCCATTACCCCTAACAACATCCATGATTTCTTGAGCAACAGCCTTCTTTTCACCTTTTTTTTGCGCCCTTTCGTACTTCTTGAACCGATCGGTTACAAACTGCTGCAGTTTTTTGTTCCCATGGTGGATCTGAAATGGGGTACCCTTACCCAACAACACATCCTCACAAAATGGAAGAGCAATCGTGCTATGAGTAGGATATTTCAAACGCTCTTGCCGCCGTTGTTGTTCTATTCTCTTGCGATCTTTAGCAAGGTCAGTAATCTCGCCTTTGTGATTCACAGGTATGTAAGATGGGTCGATTCCATGTCGACGCAATTCTTCTAAGCATTTGAGGATCGGTCCTATAAAACGAAAGACCAGGTAAGCCAGGATTAGGATCAAGTCGGCCAATGAGGCTCATTAAAAAAGATAGATAACCAAATCACGTACCACAATGCACTCTACATCTGACTTGGTTTGCTTTGCTAAATGCAGTCTTGATCATTGCATGCATACCATCCCATGCTTCTTTGGTGTAACATAGATGGGTAGCCGAGAGGCACAAGGGAACTGCTTCATTTAGCTTCGGCAGCTTCCAGACAAGATCTGCATTATCCGCACTTGTGCCATTGATTTCATCTCCAAATTGGATACTGATAGTTACAAAGCCACGCCGTTGTATCTCTAAGTCACGGTATGCTGTCATTAGGGTATAAAAGCCCTTTCGGAGCTACAAAAGGTTTCAATTGAGGCGTCAGCAAAGAATCGTAGCAAATTGAAGCCACCGGTACTGGTATACTTCTACACTTCTAAACTTACAACTGTGACGGTCCTGTACGTTTTCTGCACCATGACGATCATATTGATGCGTCTTCCAGCCTTATCATGGGCATTCAAGAATCTTCCATTTGAAAGATAGAGACATTCCATGTCATCGACATCTAAATCATCCTGAGTAATGTCCTTTGTAAGCATATCTTGACCAAACAAGTCCAGTTTCACCTGAAAGTGACGAACAAACCGAAGCGCTGCTTTTTGACATTCGAACTTCTCGCATCGAAGAAACGCAAGTCGAAACTCTCTATCCTGGGTATATTTTGGACTTAGTCGTTCAGCAATGTTGTACGCTTTCTTGTCGGGTAGAATATCGATCTCGTGTTGCAATACCCGTAAACTTTTCTGAATTAGTTCTGGAGTTTCCACTACACAGTCGTCTGGTATCGCATGGACGTCCATGTACACCTTTTCTCGATCAGCAACTGACAACTTTGCCATTTGAGATGCAATCAAGGAGTCGGCACTTTTAGGATCAGAAGCATTTGGTGGAACTCGTCTTGAAAATACTTCTGCACTCTTGCTATCATCTTCATCTGGCTTGATGTCGGTGTCAGTATCATTCTCCTGAGTCAGAGAATAGCCATCCCACAGAGAGTCGTCCCACATTTTTACTCATATCAATTTACTAGGTTTCTGAAGAAAGCTCTGTCGTCATCCTATCTGTACAGTAACTTTTGGACTGTTTGATCGGCAAGACGGGAGACGTATGGGCGTTTCTAGCTCTTTCCTTAGTCTCAATTTCCGTCGTGTCGATTATGGCGCGTCGCTTCAGTGAAGTACACGGTTGGCGGACGGAGCGAAGAGTGTCGACGAAGAGGACGGAAGATTTGGAGAAGACATTGTTCGCAATGGGAGCTTGTGGGATGATGGAGGCGATAGAAGGAGTTTAGCTGCTCGGTCAAGACCGTCAGCTTTTTTTGCTTTTCCCGCCCTCACCACCCTCTCTCTCATTTGCACCATAGCTCGGTACCCCATTTGGTACGGGTTTGTCTGTCAATCCTATTGATTGTCCTTTTCGAATCCTATGATTCGACCTCGGTGCAAACCAGTCACTAACTTAGTACCTCGCTACTGTGCCAAACCTACTCGCTTCTCGTATGTAGCATCAGCCTTTTGCCACAGTTTCCATGGTAGCATACGTGCGCGATCTCTCCAGACAAAGACTACATCATGCGATTCAAGCCCAGGAGTGGAGGCGGCGCCGGGTAATCTTCGATTAATGATATTTTTTATAAAATGAAATCGCGTGGACGTGACGCTTCCTGACTGACAATGCGCGCAGTCAAGTTGACTCGATGGACTACAATAATAAATAGCCATGGCTAACTGATATTTTAAAATACTGTAGCTTGTAATTTTGTTTATCTGACGTTTGTAACACTGCAACTATTCAGCCCCCTTATTGTCCTGCTGTCGTTCAATAACGGGCACATTAACTCATGGGCAGCTGTGACTGGTCGAGCCAAACAAAACTAATAGTTGGGTCTTCACATAACCCGGAGATATTTGATTTGCGGGATAAAAGATTTAGAATTCCCGTCCAACGTTTTAGATTTATATAAATATATGGTGTGGAACAATTGAATTTTGAGTAAACGTAGCCCAAAGTTAAACAGAGAAAAGTTGTTTCAGCAAATGTATCGACGATGTCATCCCAAATAAAGGTACTGTGCTTTTGGATACGAGATACTGCGTACCTACTGATACCGGTACAGCCGCGTGCGATTGCCAGGGTCCGTGAGTAGTAAGGATAAATCGGCCGCTGACGAAAGCCGTCGATGTGATGATGAACACACTCTTTCTAAGAATACGTTTGATTTACACTACCGTCTACTATAGCTACTACTTCGTAAGTCAACAACATCGTAATGTTGTAACGATAACATTTATATTCCACCACAACCTCAAATTCGTAATTCGCTGGATGTTGAAAATGTTCCTCTGACGGATTCAAACGAAACTGTCTAGTATAGGATCCTAGGCATCATGCGGGCAATTTCGAAATTTTGATCCCTACCAACAGTCACAAGTGCTTTGATGCGATAACCAACCATCATCAATTTACCTGGATCTCTAGCAACAATCATCATGGTGTGAACAAGCAAGAAAATTGACCTTCTCTCAAAAAATCTTGGAACATTCTCCGACGTTCTCTCAACGAAAAAATGCATCAATGAATCCTCCAGAACAAGTGATTGAAGGGATGAGCTATGACGCTACATTTACTCATATGCTGGATTTGTTGGTGTCGTATGTTGCTTCGTGGCTTTCTAGGTTCGTACACGACAATCATTCTTGCCGTCTATCAGCCAGATACCAGATCCCGACTGAACCAAATACGTTCAATTATGCAAGAATCATCCACCAGCCAGTGACGTGACCGTTTGATGGAACTGTTTTTGCAGCGTATCCTTTGGGCCAAGTGAAACGATGATGAATCATTATCCTTACCATCAATGTCGTCACTACTAATGACGATTGCTCACCTTTGGCTTGGACCCAGCAGCTCGATTCAGATTCATGACACCATGTTGTACCAATGGGCAACACAGATAGGATCGAGCGAAACTGGCCACGAGAAATATGAGAAAAGGATGTTGCTCCAGTAGCCACAACAATACGTTTTAAATCTTCTTGGCGTCCTCCTTTGGCCAAATGTGATTGTTCCGATTGCCATCCAAATGGTAGTTTCACAAAATCAGCTGCCACCAGACCAGCATGTTTCAACCGTATAGTTTCTAAGGAAGTCTTCCTATCGATGCAAACAAGAAACCAATCTTGTGACATTTAGAATTGCCAATGGGTAGGACAATCCAAAGTTTTCAGCTGTAGCCAAAAAATCCCAAACTTGCAACGATTCTACTTTACAGCCTTTCTTCCCATGGAGATTTCTTGGGCTTGGTTGTTTTACGAACGACTTTGTCAAAGCTAGAAACACGAAAGGTAGTCATTGTGCTGGGAGTCCATCCAAGACCAGTTGCTGCAGCGACTTGTTCAAAGCCAAGCCGCGTTGTGGAATTCTTCAAACGCCAAGAAGTTGCGTCGCAATCTCCGCTGCATCCTCGGACTTCAAAGCAACGTTAGCCGCTGACTGTTGGTATATCGATAAGTTATGGAACACTTCCATAATCTGAACTGAAAGTATACACCTCCTTCTATGAATCCTAGGTTCGTTGCCCAAGAACTGAAGCAGTCCTGTTTTTCCTTCAAGAAAACAGTTGATAATTCCAAAATTCAAGGCGCGGCCACGAACAACCATGAAAGTCACAAAAGCACTCTCAATTGTCCTCTGTTGGCCCCGGGTGTTCTTACGCAAGATCGAAAGTGCGTGGTATCGCCTATTTTCTGTGGTTTCTAATCAACACCGTGACCTTACTTTTTTTGCAAGGATTGCAAGGCCCACCACCCACTGTCTGTGGTCATTTAAAAGTTATCTGAGTAAGAAGTGAGCATCGAATCGAATGCCCAAAAGACAATATCTAACCAGATCCTACATCCTACATAACAAGAATCATGGCACAATTACAGCATATTCTAGAGGCCAGTTCCGTGTATGCAGCCTTCTTCGACAACCCTGCCCTCCGAGTAGTACTGGAAGAGCATCGCTCTGCTCGCAACCGCATTCTTGAAAAGACAGGACCTGTTGCCAAGGGACCCAACATGCTGCAGAGACGCATTGCTACGACCGCCAGTTCCTGGGGAAGTAACCTGCCAGTAGCGAATTGTAATGACGCTCTCTCCATTATAAATGTCAAGATCGGAGGTCAATTGCTGCCAGTAATGATTGACACTAGCGTCTCGGACACATGGGTCGAGTCCTCTCGTTGTGACGAGACGTGCAAATCTTCCAGTGACAGTCGATACGACGCCTCCCAATCATCTACTTTCCGACCAGTGGATGCAGCTAGATCCGACTTTCAATATGAGTACCTTGATGGCGCCATCAAAGGTACTCATGCATACGAGACTCTTACACTGGGAAATATCGAAGTCCGTAACCAAGTTTTCGCCCAGGCTTCATCCACGGTGAACTGGGAAAACTTGTGCGACGAAGTCGGATTGCTGGGACTTGGCTTCAGTGATGCCTCTAGCCAAGACTTTCCTGCCCTTCTCAGCAATTTAGAAGATCAACAAATTACCATGTTCTCTCTGTATTTAGCCGATCATAACGACTACCAGCTTTATATGAACCAATCAACCCAGCGTGAAGAAGCAATTCCTCAGCAGCCACCAACGTCTACCGCATCGGAGCTCACCTTTGGCGGAGTGAACCCCCAGCGATACATAAACTGTCTAATATGGCATGAACTCGGTCAGTTCCAAGAGAAGGGAACCTGGAGTTTTGCTCTGGACGGAATCAAGATTGGGTCGACAGAAGTACCCTCTTCCAGTCTAGCAACGGTGGACTCCGCTACCGCTGGTATCAGCGGCCCACAAGAAACGGTAGGGCGTATCGCAAAGAAGCTCGGTGTTGTTTGTAAAGTCTTTACCGATGAGGAGGGAGACTTCGAAGAGGTTCCATGCGATGATCCATTTGGTTTTGATCTTGCTGTTGCTTATTGTTCTCAAATTGACTCTATGCCGTCATTGACATTTGTTGCTGATGGATATTCATACACCTTGACTTCTTCAGAGCTCTTTAGCGAATCGTATATTGAAAACGGTCAAGCAGTTTGTGTTCTCAACATGGACGGGGTTCTTGAATATCCTGGGTGGCGACTCGGTATGGGCTTTTTGCGCAAGTACTACACTGTATTTGACTTCGGCCGAAAACGACTTGGGTTTGCCGAGGCCACCGCTCAAAGCTCAACATTTTGCCAAGCGGATTCGAAATACTTTATTGGTTACATTCCAGACGAAACCCTCTACACCACAGATCCAACCCAAAGTCCAACTTCTCACGACATCCCGACTCCCAATGATGCTTCTGCCGTGCTGTCAGGACTTCGTTTCTTTTTCCGGATGTTGTTTGCTGGATTTTTCGTTGTTGGGATTTGCCTTGCTGGGGCGATGATCGGGCACCGTCAAGCTCGAGCACCGACACACGGGCATTCCCCTGTAAGGACCACTGATCCAGACGAGGAAGTTGCAAAAACTTCGATGACTCGTGAAGTTGAGCTTCCACCTTTGACACAGTAGCTGATAATGCAGTTTGGTTTGTGATACAACAGCTGTATAACTTTCGATTGTTGGCGGCCCAACCACAATCGGAATCGCAGCATTGTAAGCACTGAGGACTCAGCATGTTAAACTACCTGGTATTGTAGGTATTAATACTGTAGGTGTATGGTGGAATGAATCGAAATCGTGCAAATTCGTGAAAAAACTTTTTGTGCGATAAATCCAAAATATGACGCATGGCTATCTAAGATAGCCTACTGCCGTCCTCCGTGTGTGTGTTCGTAGTATTTTGTCTTGGTGTGTAGCTCCATGGTGGGTTGTGGTAACACAATGTAGTCAAAGAAATCGAACAGTGTGCCTGCGGTCTACGTTGGACAAATAAAAATAGCCTTCCTAATTCCCGCTTTTTTTAATCTGTTGGCCTTAGGAATATGCAGCGTTCTTGGTCAGTTGTGACCCAAGATCGAAAAAGTCATTGGTATCGCCTATTTTCTGTGGTTTCTGATCAACACAACGTGATCGCGTACTCTTTTTTTGGCAGGCTGGATGACCACTGCCTGTGTTCATAATCTCGACTGCCCCTTCTTCAGTCAGCATCCGAGTCAGTGAGCATCATATCAAGTGCCCAAAAGATAATCCAGAAACAGCATCTAATCCGATTATACATACTGCACCAGACACATCAAGAATTATGACACAGCTACATCGCATTCTCGAGGCCAGTACCCTGTCGGCAGCCTTCGAAGTGCACCACTCTGTTTCTAGGAGCCCACTTGCCAATGCAGAACTTGTTGGCAACGGACCCAACATGCGAAGGCGCTTTGCTACTAAATCCCTCGGAAACCCCAACAACGAACAAAACCCTACCATCCTGCCAGTATCGAATTGCGCGGGCACTCTCTATACTACAAACATCAAGATTGGAGGTCAATCGCTGCAGGTACTAGTTGACAGTGGCACCTCAGATCTATTTGTCGAGTCCTCTTCGTGCGACGAGTCGTGCACATCTTCCAACAACAGTCGATACGACGCCTCGGAATCATCTACTTTCCGAACGGCCAACGACTTGGGTGAAAGTATCCATGGATACGATACTCTTACACTGGGAGATATCAATATCCCTAACCAAGTATTTGCCCTGGCTTCTTCCTCCATCTTCAATATTAGTGCACTGTGCTACAAAGTTGGATATCTGGGTCTTGGTTTGAGTGATACCACAAGATACAACTTCCCTTCCCTTCTAAGCAATTTGAAAGAACAACAACAAATTACCATGTTCTCTCTGTATTTGGGTGATCACAGCGACTACGAGACTTTCATGAACGAAACAACTCATAACCTACAGGTAGTTCGTCAGAGGCCACCAGTTTCAGCCACATCTGAGCTCACCTTTGGCGGGGTAAACCCAAAAAGATACAAGAACTGCCTGAGATGGCATGAAGTTGGTCAGTCCCCGGATAAAGGCGAAGCCTTTAAGGGATACTGGGACTTTGCCCTGGACGAAGTCAAGGTTGGATCGACAGAAGTACCCTCTTCCCGTCTAGCAATGGTTGATTCCAGTAAGAATTTCTCCGCTGGCCCACAAGAATCTGTAGGGCGATTCGCGAAGTTGCTCGGTATGACTTGCAAGGCATTTACCGACGATTTCGAGGATGACGAACGGTATGCGGATGCGGATGCGGATACGGACGAGGCGGACGGGGACGAGGAAGCGTACGAGGCTGCCAAAGAAGAAATTCCATGCAACGATCCATTTGATACGACCAATTGCGTGAAAGTCTTCAAAGATGTTAAATGCGACGATCCACGTGGCTGGGATTTTGCTTATATTCAGTGTTCTCACAGTTACTCAATGCAGTCATTGACATTTGTCGCTGATGGGAATGCATACCACTTTTCCCCTTCAGAGCTCTTCCGAGAAGCTGACACTGACCACGGACGTGTTTGTGTTCTCCAATTGAAAGGAGTTCCTGGATATCCTGGGTGGGTACTCGGAATGGACTTTTTGCGCAAGTACTACACTGTATTTGACTACGGTCGAAAAAGACTTGGATTTGCCGAGGCCACAGTTCAAAGCTCAACAGTGTGTGAGGCGGATTCCAGCTACTTTAGTCGGGGTATTCCAGACGAAGCAAAACCAGCAGCATCTGTCACATCCACATCTCCAAACCACAGTCCAACTTCACACGAAGGCGGCCTGCTATCAGGGTTTCGTTTCTTGATTCGGATCTTGTTTGCTGGGTTTTTCATTGTTGGGGTTTGCCTTGCTGGGGTTATGATCGTGCATCGTCAAGCTCGGGCGCCAACACAAGGACATTTCCCAGTGAGAACTACCGATCCAGACGAGGAGGAAGTTGCAAAAAGGTGGGAAGTTGAACTTCCAGCTTTGACACAGTAGCTGGGAAATAAGGATAGTGTGGTGTAAA